TGACTGGGCAGGCGAGTCAATCGACCGACACAGCCGGGGGAGCCAATGAGTCACCGTTCGAGCCCTTTGGCAAAACCAATCAGTTCACTCAAACATGAGCAAGTTCACCCGTTCAGATGCGTGAATTCGGTTGGGTCTATCGGGCGCTGGTGGAGTGGCAATAACGCCCTCGCCTCACAACTCAGAATTCCGGTTTCACGATCAACATGAAATCAACACCCACTAAAATTTCATTTCTACTGCAAACAGTGTGTCATCATCATGCAGGATATCTGTGTTCAACACCGATGCTTCACTGCCGTACAACCATGATCCACTTGAAAGCTTTATTGTAAAAAAAAGAGTAAATGTGGACGGGAAGGGACAATCATTCCGAGGTGCCTACATCTCCAGACATTCACTCAGGTGATCTAGATAGAAACTGACAACGAGAACGCCACTGACATCGGTTGGCAGCCATATCTTGTAGTGTCACCAACCTGGCGCTGTGAGGATCGCGTGGTCCCCACCCTGGAAGGCGAGTAACACCGACAGCGCCCAAGCGTTTCATACTCCTCTGCCAAGTCAAGGGTTGGCCACCTCTCTGTTTACACCACCCTGAGTTGGGCATGGAAAACGGCACTCTCTTCGGCAAACGATGGTTCGGCATACGTAACACATGTCCCACCCATCGCAGCTTCTGGTGCTGGACACATTCTTCAATGGAAGTACCCGTTGCACAACCGAAAACTCGCTTTCTAACTGCTTCGTTACGGATTCGCCAACACCAACCCACACGAGATATGGTTCTGAGACAACGATTGTCGAACACCTGAAGACGTCTCAGTTCCGCCGCCCAACAAAACAGCCCATACTGTAGCTTGATACACACGTCCCTTGAGATTCAGGGGGCAGACTAGAATGCATGGCTTCAGTAAATGACACCCGGCAGCTGGAACGTCATGCGTGTATAGTTGTTTATCCACTGATCGATCGATATCCCATTTTCGAGGCTTGAAGCTGCGAAATACACTTCCCAAAACAAAATCATGAGATCGCTTAAGTTTGTCATTGATTCGATTAAACCGGATTCGTGCGATTAATGATCAGCGTGTGGGAGATCCGATCCTAGAAATTGAAAGGATCAACTTCCGTAAAAAAACACACGGAAAGTGAAACAGAGAAGCGGAAAAGTAAAGTCACCTCATGGCACCTTCAGGAGGGTTTTGATGACATTTTCTGGACTTTTGCTTAATTTTATTAATTTTATTGAGTGCAGGTATCCTTTTGCCGATGACACGACAAAGGGAAGGTTAGTCCTTTTAGGTATGTACCCCTGAAGTTATCTAATCACTCAAGCGATCCATACCTGGTATCACACAGAGTGGACAGGCATAGAAAACCCACAGCTTTGTTTGCCACTTTGTTTTTCTGTAGATATGATCGGCGGATGTTGTTGTGACCCGGGTCATGCGAGACGTAGGGAAGACCAACTGTCTGTACGGTGAATGTGTGCATGTGTGTATGGACCTGACGAAACTATGTAAGACTTCGCAATGTACAGCGACAAAAAATGACACTCCTCTCTTCAGTAGGCTAAAATGCGGTTTTATTGTACTATTGTTATAGAAACAACGACGTTCTCATTTTGGTGGTGAAGAAATCTGATTGATTGGCAAGGACAGCTTAAGAATAACCGCTTTTCTTCCTAGTGGCCATGGCTTCTGCTGTTTCGAGAACAAAAATCACCCATCATTTTCTCGACACTCGATTGATTACGTTCGCTGACTTGTCCAGTGGTCCGCATCAGTCAGGTGACTCTCGCGACTGTTCGACTGCTCCACTTTTTGACCGATCGATAAGTTTTCAACTGAGATTTAAGGATGACTGACACTGTATCGTGTCTGAGTGAGAGTTACTCAAAGGCCGACCAGCCTCTCATGGTAGAACGGTTCAGTGTTCCAACAATGGTCGAAAGGTCGCGGGTTCAAACTCCCTGATTTACGTGAAATGTTCATTGACGATGAGTAAAAATAAGGGCGAAACATTTATGTAGTGCTTCTCAACTCTTCAGCATAGATTTGACTCACTCACGAGATGAAATCTCATTTGAAAATTGCTAAGACTCTTCATGCTCCCGTAGACCGATTAGTCTCCTTGGTTCTCTGTGTGGTTCGATCCATATGAGTTGCCGAAAGTTTGCAAAACGAATGAATGGATAATTATAAAGCAACCGTGGACCGAAAATCTATCATTGCAATCCTTGCTCTGGCAAAACTGTGTGACATTTTATCCCTATATTTGCTCGTTGACGAGTGGTTGAGTACCATCTTTGGTAAACTTGTTTTTCCCCAATGAATGGTGTGACCCATTGAGGGGTCACGTGCAAGGTCATATATGATTGGTGAGTGTGAAGGTCGTTGATTATCCATAGATGTAAGCAAAATCAATGAGACCAATCAGTCAAGGACCGAGGGGCCAGGAAGATAAACCCAACTGTTCCGTTATACTTATCTATTCCTGTTTCACCGCCGACCACGTTCTGGTGTTGTAGACGATAACCGTGGGACCTCAGTTCAGTGGCTACCAAGGGGGCAATTTGATCGCTCCAAAGCGCTCTGAATATAAAAGAAACACCTATGGTTGTTGGTTTGTTCGCTGAGCTGGGCAATTTGATTGCAAGTGTTTCATCACCAATCGAGGCGACATCATCATTGTGTTATTTGGGAGCGTAGTGGTGCGTAGCGGTGGGCTAGTGGTTATGCGTCGAGTAGTGTTACATGTGTGTTAAAATACGCGCCGTTAGCCGGGGATGACCTTTGATCGCGATTAGTTGTTCGGTCGGGGCGGCTCCATTGGTTGCTCCGTTATCCTGTGTCCTCATTCAGCCGATGCCCCGTGACTCTTGAGCTTGGCTTGCCGTCGTAATCTTGTTGATGCTGAAGTGACCTTTGTTCTTCCAAGCTCCCGATAAGACGCAAGTGAATAAACTTGAATTATTATGAAATGCAGTGCTGTTAGGTTCCACCTTCAATCTGAAACTGAAGGCTACTCGTAAGCATACTCAGTTTTTCAACTGAATGCTGAATGAAGCGGTCCACAATTATATTACCTGTAGATAAATTAGTCTGGCGATGAACTGACCAACAGAATTAATTAACCGGTCTTGATTAATGCCTTGGTCGTCGCATAATTTTGAAATTGTGGAGATATTTAAACCACTGGATTATTAAACGGAGTATGCCCTTCCTCGGAGACATTTTCGTCATTTTTTTGAATGATTGTAACGAAAACTTTTGTCATTGGCGCCGGCAGACAACAGCAAGTATTCTCAAATGGTTACTAACACCCATTTTCGTTAGTTAAATTGATGTATTCAGAAACAGCGTTCCGTTTTGGCCACGTTACCTTGGCAACGTAGGGTTACTACAATGTAAGTTAGTTAGTTAGTTAGTTAGTTAGTTAGTTAGTTAGTTAGTTAGTTAGTTAGTTAGTTAGTTAGTTAGTTAGTTAGTTAGTTAGTTAGTTAGTTAGTTAGTTAGTTAGTTAGTTAGTTAGTTAGTTAGTTAGTTAGTTAGTTAGTTAGTTAGTTAGTTAGTTAGTTAGTTAGTTAGTTAGTTAGTTAGTTAGTTAGTTAGTTAGTTAGTTAGTTAGTTAGTTAGTTAGTTAGTTAGTTAGTTAGTTAGTTAGTTAGTTAGTTAGTTAGTTAGTTAGTTAGTTAGTTAGTTAGTTAGTTAGTTAGTTAGTTAGTTAGTTAGTTAGTTAGTTAGTTAGTTAGTTAGTTAGTTAGTTAGTTAGTTAGTTGGTTCGTTAGTCAGCTAGTGATAAGTCTTCCTCTCGCACTTGATTTTTGAAGCACTTGTTCTGTTCTCTCCATTTCTTCTACCCGACATTTTCAGAGACAGTCGATTGTAACTACACACTTGAGGGATCACGCGGAACATTGAATTCACCAAACTACCCCCGGAACTATCCGAAAAATGTTAGTTGTACATGGACCATTCTGAAGCCAGAAATCCAGAGTATCTTGAGGTTCCACGACTTTCATGTGAGTCCACCATGTGACTGTATATACGCAGACATGTGTGGGTGGTATTCAGAAGTTTTCCAATGGTGAACAGTGACTGAACTACTGGGGACCCTCGGCGGGTCGCTGAACCACAAACGGCTTGTGTGGGGCCCATTGGAGTGCTGCAGGCAGGCACGCAAATGATGATGATAGTGGGTGCCCGCAATTATTCTTTTACTTTAAGCGTCAGTGTTATCCACCATGGGAGTGCACTTGCCGCAGAACACTGCACTTCTCTCCAATAAATTACTGTGCAATATTTTCCACCCTGCACATTTGCCTTGAAATTTGAGTAAACAGAACTCAGGCAAACAGCTGATAATTCAGCTTTGGTTAGGAGTAAGTACTGTGATGAAATGTGTCCCAAGGTTCTTCGAAATTTTACGGGAAGCAGTTTTTGGGCCGTTGTTTCTCCTGTCAGACTTTACCAACAACAAAGCCCGTTTGGTTGACTAGAAACAGCCCACTAACCCGTCCAACGATTTAGGAGCACGGATTGGTGCCTGGGAACCAACGGTCTCACACAATTCTCTCCCTCTACCTAGATTGTTCGAGTTCCGCGGGTCTGCAGGTCGGCACCTGATCTTGAAATAGGATAAAGTAGAACAAATGGACGTGGGTGCGCTTCGCCTGTGTTTCTTGTACAAAGAATGTGCGCTTCAACCAGTTGGGGCAGTCTTAGTGTCACTTTGGTTGTAGAGCACGATGCAGATTGTGACGCTACGCCAGGTGAAGATAGCAATGAACAGTGCGGGTACACACGGCTTAAGTATAGAGGCGGGCCTCCACGGCTAGTTATACCACTTGAGTGTGTGTGCAATCAGCGGTCAAATCGGGAGTGGTGTATGTGTCCTCCCTGAAAATCGATCAAATGTTTCTCGCTTCGCTCTATGAAACCCATAGTTCATTGATGAAAGCCATGAATTGCTCCCCTCATATATGGCCCATAGCATCGTTGGCCGGTCAACGCCTGTTTCCCTGGATGTTCAGATATGCGCACACCCGATCGGTCCCGGTTTTTGTACAAAGATGACCAGTTGGGTCATTCTTACTGTCACTTTGGCTGTACAGCACGATGCAGATTGTGACGCTACGCCAGGTGAAGATAGCAATGAACAGTGCGGGTACACACGGCTTAAGTATAGAGGCGGGCCTCCACGGCTAGTTATACCACTTGAGTGTGTGTGCAATCAGCGGTCAAATCGGGAGTGGTGTATGTGTCCTCCCTGAAAATCGATCAAATGTTTCTCGCTTCGCTCTATGAAACCCAGAGTTCATTGATGAAAGCCATGAATTGCTCCCCTCATATATGGCCCATAGCATCGTTGGCCGGTCAACGCCTGTTTCCCTGGATGTTCAGATATGCGCACACCCGATCGGTCTACTGCCTTTTCATCTCAGCGCTAATCTGAGTCGGCTGATCTTTGTGTTCAACGTCGGGTGAAATAACGGAACGTTGGCAATTGGATAGTCAAGGCTCCCGTTCGTCTCCCGTGAAAAATCTGTTGGTTGGCTGAAAGACGGATTCGCTATAGTGTGGTCAGCTTGTAGAGCACCGGCTTAACCTCAGATTCTGGTTGTGTTCTAGTTATGTTCTCTGTCACATACTCGATGTGTGCAGGATGGGTTGATAGCTCATCAATGGTAAGTCTTGACATACCGTGCATCTCTTTTGCACATCTTCTGAACGCAGGTCGAAGGGCATGAAGACTGCGCAAAAGACTTCGTAGATGTCTACATTGGAACCGGTTCGAACGCTACGATCTATCGTTCATTTTGCAACTCGTATAAGCCTCCTTTGATTTCGTTCGCCGACGACGTCATCATCACGTTCCGGAGTGACGCAGACGTGGAGGACCGTGGATTTAATGCGAGTTATGAACCAGGTGAGTAAAACAAACATATCTGAAGTACATGACACTGATTTGTTTCCGCGACTTGTCTCATTGCACTGCATCTGTGATTCATTGTTTTACGAGTTGCCACGCATGACCGTTTGTCGCACCATGTGTGCAATTTAGTTTCCGATTAGGACATTGATGGGAATTCGAGTGTGGGAATGGACTGTCCACATCTCTCGTCTAGCCACCGAGATCACGAGATTTCCCAATGTTTGTAGGAATCAAGTAGTACTCACGAGGATGACGATGATTCGCTGCAAGGTCCTTTCGGTTCATGACTACCATACATCCGGAAGTAAGCACGAGAGCTGAGCTGCACATGCCATGCATCCGGAAGGAAGCACGAGAGCTGAGCTGCACTCAGGCTAATCAAGCGTGGAACGAATCAATCGATATACGAAGATTGGTTGAAATTTTCTGCCTTAACTACTGAGATTGCACTTTACACTGCAGTCGTCATTTGTGTTGAAAATGGGCGTCCAAGTGTCCGTCAAGTGAAAAATGTGACCGTGAAATAGGTTGATGCCTCGCCCCATGTTATCGACCATCAGCTGACCTCGGAACTCAAATGTTTAGCTCGCTATCCTTGACTGCAGTTAGATATTCGAGAACCATGTGGCAGGTAGCGCTCAGTATTTGCAAAGATTTATATGTTACCTCGATAAATCAAGTGAAGTATTAATCTCGTTTTGTCGCACCCCTTAAACATTAATTCATGTGCATATGAGAGTATTTGTCAAGCTTATCCTGTTCCTTACTGATGTTGGTCACGATTTCTATTCATACTTTTCGTTCTACTGTATTCCTCATGCAAAACAACATGTTCCCCTCTACCTGTATGTCAATACTTTGTACTCTTACCGTCCTTGACGAGATCACTTGTCGAACATACACACATCTTTCGAGAAATACAGTAGTTCATATTTTCTGCAGAAGGGTTTGGTGAACGATCAGTAGTTTTTAATTGGGCAACGTTTCGCTTTTGACACAAAGTTTCATGAGGACAAGTGAGCAGGTTATAAGGTAGACGATCGGCTCTTGTTCCTTAATCTCCCAGTTCAATTGATGATTTACCTCGGGTGCCACTGGCAGATTTTCATTGGTCTTTGTGGAGTTGTGAGTGCTCCGACAATTTAGTTGAGGGTAGGGAAGGTGGGTAAGGTTAAGTGGAATCCAGATGATCACTACTCTCCCTTCTGATGATCGGACACCAACACGTGTCAGCTCGATTGACCGATGACCGTTCTCCAAACGCTTGCCAGTTCCACGCCGTCTATTCTCTAAACACCGGGATGCATGGCGATTTCTACTGCCTCGGCAATCAGCGTCTGTGACGTGGACCGTAGTCCTCGCCTCAAAACCTCAACATTTTCTAAATCTATTGTGTGTCCCGTGTCCAGCTTGTGTTCCGCGATTGCCGAGTCTTTCATTAACGCTTGCTATTCATCTGCGTTTCTCAGCGGCCTGTTTATTTCTATACTATGCTCTCCGATTCTGTTGTGAAGTTCCCTAGCCTTCTGTCTTGTATAGAGCTTAGTGCAGTCGTTACAGTTAATTTTGTAGACACAGTCCCTGGTTCTGTTTTCCGGGAGGTGATCATTCAATTGCACCAGTGCAATTCGTATTTTTATTCTGATTGATGGATGAGAGAGTACATTCGGACAACTCTTATCCCGCGTTCTCCATTCTCTTGCATGTCATCTGATATCATATTCGATTTTATTGGTCAGTTATTTGCAAAATAACTTCCGTACTTTACAGTCTTGTACTTCCCATGAATATCGGGTCACTTGAGGGCCAAGAAAATCTAGGCCGGTTCTTCACATCTCCATTGGGAAGAACGTAGTCGATCGTTGGTTGTTCAGTAGTTTCATCGATTTGGTGAGTAATGTTAAAACGGGTTTCAACTGAAACATGGGAAGAAGATTCGCAAAGTATATATGCAACTTAGTGCAAGGAAACGATGGAAGAGTTGAGAATACACCTGAGTGAGCCTGGTGGATTTAGGTCGCGGGTTCGATTCCCACTGGAATTTCGTGAGATGTGCACTGTTGATGATTCGCCATAAGTACGAAACCGTTGTAAAGTGCTTCTCGGTTTCTCACAATAGACTGGCTTCACTTATGGGAGTAAACTTCAACTAAAAAATCAACAAATCTCCTCCCACCGCCATACACTGAGGCTCCAGTGTCGCACAACAACAGCCGGCTGTCTTATCCGCTAACGCAACTGCAGCTAAGAGGACCAGGCCTCTTGGCTTCACTTTCAAGTTCGACGTATCATATCTCTCTTTACCCCAGATCGAGGTTCCAACGTCCTCATCAAGAACTCTGCTGTTAGTTCCATTCCGGCATCCATGCTAGGAACACTGCTAACTGAATGGAGTAGTGAAAAAGAAGGGATAAATAAATGAAACGTAGTTGATCCGCCAGTTCAGCTCGGTGGATCAAACTGGTACCTAAACTGTCGCGCCCTCAACGACACTCATGAATCCAAGCTATTGCCTTCAATGCATATGTCCCTTCCCAATTCCTCCACTTAAAAGTCCAATGGCAAGGCTGTAGTTACCCACGAATTTATCAGCTTCCGCCTCCAATGCTCAGCTATCTACTCCACCCTCTGAAAAAGAAGGGATAAATAAATGAAACGTAGTTGATCCGCCAGTTCAGCTCGGTGGGTCAAACTGGTACCTAAACTGTCGCGCCCTCAACGACACTCATGAATCCAAGCTATTTCCTTCAATGCATATGTCCCTTCCCAATTCCTCCACTTAAAAGTCCAATGGCAAGGCTGTAGTTACCCACGAATTTATCAGCTTCCGCCTCCAATGCTCAGCTATCTACTCCACCCTCCCAAATCATCGGTGAACAAAACTGTGGCAGCTACAACCGCTGTACGACAAGTACGTGGTCATTACAGCTGACAGTGATGATGATGATGATGATGATGATGATGATGATGATGATGATGATGATGATGATGATGATGATGATGATGGTAAGATCCTGTGCTAAGGACGTGATCTAAAAGCAAGGAATAGGTTAATCAGCCTAAACACGCAATCTAGGTGTCCTATCTGACAGGTAACGTGTATTCTGATTCACTGACGGACGGTCAGTAATATTTGCGGCGAAACCGAATTCTACGAACTTCACCTGCGTTTGTTCAGTAGTCGCAATTGGGCAGTGAACAA